TTTGTGGGGATTTCTGAAACCATTAAACAGAACTTTTCTAAAAATGAATTACACAATTTATGTGGCGGGAGGAATTATGAATGGTGCTGGAATGCACCTAGAGGGATGTCTGGGGGATCTTAATGGGAGTGAATAAAGACAGGTTCAATGTGGAACATATAGAAAAAGGGGTGTATTTTCTTATAATGCTAGTTTATGATAAAAATGTCAAGATCTATTGGAATCTGATTACATTCTATGGAGATGCTCAGCCGAAAGGGAAAGCTAGCTTCCTAGCTAAGCCGGCTAGATTATATCATGACAACCCCATGCCTTGTTTGGTAGGAGGAGGCTTCAATATTATTAGAAATGAGAAAGAAAAAACAAATCTGCTCATAATGAGCAGTGGACTTTTATGTTTAGTGCAATTATTGAGCAAGTTGGGCTGAGAGAATTGCCCCTAAATGGGAGACAATTTACTTGGGCTAAAATTTGGCTGATCCTACCTATGAAAAATTAGATGGGGTGTTAATGTGTCCAGCTTAGGAAGAAAAATATCCATTGACTATACTACAGGCCTGTGCTAGGGAAGTATCAAACCACACTCCATTGTTTCTAGACACCGGGGAAGGATAGCTGATAAACACATTTCAGATATGAAAATGCATGGGCTTTGAGAGATGGGTTTAAAGAATTGGTATATAAAACTTGGAATGATAGATATACTGGAGATATCTTAGAGCGGTGGTAGCTTAGATTGAGAAATTTGAGGAAGAAAACCAAAGGATAGAATAGAAATGTCGATGCATGGTATAAAAGAATTAAAAATTGACATTATTAAAGAGCTAGATGAGATTGATAAAAAAGTTGAGGTTATGGGATTAACTGTTGCAGATAGAACAGAACAAAAAGAATTAAGAGATCAACTGAAAAGAGTAATGATTCAGGAAGAAATGAAGCGGCTTCAGAGATATAAAGATAAGGAAATTACATATGGGGATGGTAACACCAGATATTACCATGCAAAGGTGAATGGGAGAAGGAGAAATAATATAATCGTTTCTTTAGAACAAAAAGACAGAATGGTGAAGGGGAGGAAAACTTAATGAAGTATATTACCAACTTTTATAAAAATTTGTTTGGGCGACCTGAAGAAACCCAGACCTCCATTAAAGATTTGGAGTTAAAAATTAGTGAAGAAGAAAATAAAAATTTAATGGCACCCTTTCCTCTCGATGAGATTAAGGAGGTGGTTTTGGGGGTAAAGAAAAATAAGAGCCCTGGACCAGATGGGTTCCCCGCTGATTTCTATCAGGAGTTTTGGGACTTGGTCAAATGGGACATTAAGGCTTTGGTGGAAGAATTTGCCAAGGGGAAAATTGATATCTCTAGACTTAACTATTGTATCATTACCCTAGTCCCAAAAACAGCTGATGCCAAACAAATACAAAAGTTTAGACCAATATGCTTATTAAATGTAAGTTTTAACATCATCACAAAAGTGTTGATGAACATGCTAACCCAATATGTGTTTCCTATCATCTCTAAGACTCAAACTTCCTTTATCAAAGGGAGGTACATAATGGAAGGGGTTGCAATTTTACATGAAGCTCTAAATACATTCCATAGGAAGCAAGATGCACTAATTTTTAAGTGGATTTTGAGAAATCATATAACAAAATTAAGAGGCCCTTTGTGGTTCAGATGTTAAATCTCAGAGGTTTCCCTGTTAGGTGGTGTGATTGGGTTATGGAAACAATGAGAGGAGGACATGTGGAGGTGAAGGTCAATGATGAAATTGGACCTTATTTTAGGACATATAAAGGGCTTAGACAGGGAGTTGCAATGTCACCCCTCTTATTTGACTTAGCTACTGATGCCTTGGCTGTACTTATGAATAATGCACTGGAACATGATTTGGTCAAGGGAGTCCTGGGGGATGAAAATAATAAATGGGTTAACATGCTACAATATGCAGATGATAAAATCGTCCTAATCCAAGATGATATTGAAAGTGTTAAAAACCTTAAGTTTATCCTGGGAGCCTTTGAACAAATGTCTGGACTCAAAATCAATTTACATAAAAGTGAACTGGTGCTCTTTGGGAAAGCCAAGGAAAAGCAAGACATATATCAGGAAATCCTTACTTGTAAAATGAGTATGATGCCTATAAAACATTTAGGGATGCCAGTATCTGACTCTAGAATTAGAAACACTCACTCGAAGTGCGTGATTGAATTTTTTTAGAAAATATGTAGTTGTTGGCAAGGGAAATTGTTGGGCTCTATTGCAGGGAGAATTACTTTAGTTCAGGATTGCCTGACAAATATACCCCTCTTTATGATGTCCTTTTATCCTATGCCTAAAGGCGTGATCAGGAAAGCTGATTTTTACAGAGCTAGGTTGGTATGGCAAGAAGATGATAATATTAAAAAGTATCATTTAGTGAACTGGAAAATTTGTTGTCTATCCAAAGAGGTAGGGGCTTGGGGATCTTAAACCTAGGATTAATGAATGTTTCCTTATTAGCTAAATGGTTCTGGAAAATGGAAACAGAAGAAGGCATGTGGCAAGAAATAATACATAGGAAATATAGGGGAATTGTTGTCTTTCTAGGGCCACAAAAAAACCTGGGGACTCCCAGTTTTGGTCCAATTTGATGGATGTCAAAGAGGTTTTCTACAGATTTGCTCAAAAGAAGCTGGGAGATGGGGAAAATACTAGGTTTTGGGAAGTTATATGGGTAGATGATAAAATACTGAAAGAAGCTTATCCCAGATCATATGACCTATGTTTTGACCACAACATAACAGTGGCAGAAGCCATTCAGAAAGGATGGCGGGGGTTTAGATTCAGAAGAACACTGTATGGGGATACTTTGGGGCTATGGAATAGTCTTAAGAGTAGATGTGAGGAAATTGAAATGGGAGAGGGGAGAGATGAGACAATATGGACCCTTATTGCTGACATTTGTTTTTTTGTCAAATCCTTATATGGAAGCTTGGCGGCTGTAGATCTCAACTTCCTGCAAAAATTCTTGTGGAAATTTAAGGTCCCAGCTAAAATTAAGGTCTTCCTGTGGCTAGTCAACAGGAAGAGCATACTTACTAAAGACTCCCTCCTAAATAAAGGATGGAAAGAAGAAAAGAATTGTGTGCTTTGTGGAAAAGATGAATCGGCAGATCACTTATGTTTTACATGTTCGGCTGCATCCGTGATTTGGAGCTTGGTTAAATGCTCATTTGGGTTGGAAAAAACTCCTGCATCAATTCAGGAATGCTTGGGGCGGTGGTTGGATAAATTTAGGAAAAATGATAAGAAACTGGTTCTAGTGAGCAAAACTACTAGAACGAGTAGCAAGTGAAGCCTATGCTGCTTCGCTGGGATGGAGAATCAACGTGGCGCGACTGGAAGGATGAGCAAAAAGCCTCCCCATGCTGTAGCTGATAGTCTTCGTTTGGTTTGGTTATCTGTTGTGGATTATCTTTTGGAGTTTGATGTTCTTCGAATGGGTGAATGTAATATAAAGACTATGATGTGGTACCTGTTCGTCGACTCACTTA